CTTGGAGGGTCAGCGGGACTTAGGAGGTATACTTATAACCCCTATAAAGCCATATGATGAACTCAGCTATCCCCATGATTAACCTACGTACTAAGTCCCCCTTACCCTCCAAGTAGACCCTGCCCAACCGATTTCGGACACCACTTCAGGGTTTGGGGCAGTTTAGGGTTTAGGATTCAGGGTTTAGGATTTACTCAAGAACCGTGGCCCTATGGGCTTTAGGGATACAAACGGATTAGAATAAAGGGATTACGAAAGGGATGATAACGGGATGATCGCAGTCTGTTCGGGAGATTCTGCAGGAACCCTTTTTGAGAAAGTTTCAAACCCCAGTTGAAGTGGGAGTTTCTCGAACTGGTCGAAGATCGGTAAGTAGGACAATCACCATGCCCTTCTCAAAATACCATGCTTATACATTAGGAGGACCCCTCACACTGTAATAGTGGTATAATAGGGATATAAGAGGACCCTAATATAATCCCTATTATCCCTTAAAGTCACTATTACTGGGTGGGGGGTCCACTAGCTTATACAGATCTATCCCCAAATAAGGGATGCATTCTTTCTGACAAGCAGGCGCTGATCGAACAGGAACCTATTTTCACTCCACTAAAGGGGCGTGAGCAGCTCCGGCCTAGCCGGCAGCAAAGGTCAGCACCTGCGTGCAAGCGTCTCCTGACTAGCACCAAGAAACGGGGAGGAAGCTAGTTTCTACAGCTCCCCGTAATCTTTCCTGACCTTTGAGGCCATCCTCAGGAAAAGAAGAAGGAAGGAGGATTGCTCATCCTCAGCCTCGCTCTGCAGCAGGCGCTCAGTAGCCGCCCTGGTTCTGGACCGCGCAGCGCCATCGTGCCGACGCTGAAGCTCATTCTTCTCCTCATCGATGCGGAGGTTCCCAGACTTCAGCATGTGCAGCAAGGCTCCATTTCCTTTCGTGACATCCGCCTTCGTGAGGAGGTCAGCAATCATCCGTTGGTGCGGCGTCCAACGCACAAGTGAGCCAGCTCGGGCCATTGAGTCGATAATGGCCGCCAGTTCTAAAGCAGTGCGCCTGTCTTGTCGGCTTGCCGGGTGCCTCTTCACGAGCGCATCATAGAGCGATTTAGCGTCAGTTATGCCGCATTGCTCTTGACGCCCAGCAAGCTCGCTCCCACTCCGGAGCAGACAGGAGAACGGCTGAACAACGTTCCGCCACATCTCAGGATTGACATCGCCATAGACCACATCACGATAGAGCACCTGCATCCACTCGATCTCGCCCAAGCATTGGGAGAACGCCAGCGTTTCGGAAGCCAGGGTGGAGGTCACTCTTCTTCGAAGCTTGGTCGACCTCCATGACAGCACCGACACCTTGAGCTGTTGATCATGCGTGGGCACGCGATCGCTGCCCAAGATGATCCATGAGCCTTGGACAGGGTCTTCCAGCAGTCCATCATCACCTGTGGTCTTGGTGATGCCGTCGACACCTCCAGCATCGCTCACCCCAATGAACGTCATCTTCTCGGGGTCGAAGGGTTGTAGCCGGATGCCTTGACGTGCCGTAGACCTTAGGTGGCCCACCATCTTGTTGAGGGTCACCGCATCCTGCACAGTGGCGAGCTGCAACCTCGAGCTCAGGATGCTCACCATGCCGGCAGCCTCGGGGCGGGTTTGATGAGCAACCCAACTTATCCGGTACAACATGGATCGGAAGGCGTCGATCTCCTCCCCCACAAGCAGGCTGTCCTTCTGGCTCCTCCGACCTCGGCTGAGCTCCACAGTGTGTATCTTTTCTAACACATACTTCTCTTGACGCATGTGAACGCCACTGCTGCTCATCCGGATGTGACGCCCATTGAAGTCCGCCTCATCATATTCCCATTTTCCGAAGAGGAAGCATTCACGGAGGCGCCCAAGCAGCTCACTCTGGTAGTCGGTACGGGCCGCCACGTTAAAGTCATCAACTTCCAAGAGGATCATCGCCTTGACCCGGTGGCTGACGGGCTTGCCCAGGTCCTGCTTGATAAACAGACAGGGGTCAAGGAAGCTCTTGCGGAACCCCATCTCATCGCACAGGAACTCACTCACGGTCTCGGCCCAGCTCACAGGGGCGTCTTCGAGTCCATACACGGCCACCATGAGCTCAATGAGGTCGTGCTCTCCGAGGACACGGTTCGGCGAAGAGGCGTCCAGCTGCTCTCTTGAGTGGCTTGCCCTGGCGAAAGGCCGAGGTCACATCGCCGAAAATCACCTTCAAACCCAGGTTCAGGGCCGTCTGGAAGAAGATGTTGATCACCTCGGTCTGCGGGGTGGGCACGAAGGTCTTGAGACTCTCAACATCTGGGTCACCAAACCCAAGAACGCACCACCGGGACTTGTACTTGAAGGAGCCAACACCCGGAGTGGGTTTCTTCCTGCGGACCACCCTGGACTTCAGGATGCGACCAGCATATTCTCGACGAAGCTTGCGGGCAGCCTCCCCGGTGTGTTCACGGCATTCATGCCGCGAACGCTCTGCCATTCCTTGATGTCGGACTCAGCAAATCCACGCTTGTCCTCCTCGCTGGCGTTTCTCATGTCAAACTCGTCACTGCGGGCTGCAAGAAGTATGGTTGGGTCCCGTCCTCATTCTCTTCAATGGCAACGTAGGTCTCCTTCGCCACACGGCCTTGTTCCCATCCTTTGCGATGTGCGGAGAGGAGCTCGTCGAAGGAGATGTCGCTGAGGCTGTCAAAGTCCAAGTCCTCATAAAGGTGGCTAGTCTCCAAGTCAGCCTCCTTTCTCATCTTCTCGAGGTAGCGGTCCTGGGCCTCTTTTAAAGCAGCTCGTTGCACTGGTGGCACGGGTGATCGAGATCGCCGCCGAGCCGGCGGAGGTGGTGGTACCTCATCCGAGCCTCGAGCTAGTGGTGGATCAGGCAGATCTTGGGAGCCTCGTGCTCTCTCCGTCTGGCCTGCTCCGGCTGTGATGCCGGCGGAGGAGGCTGCACCTCCTTCATTGCTTCTGGGCTCGTTCGTGCTGGGAGCCGGATCGCCATGCATCCGAGGTTCTTCTGGGATGGTTTCAGGGGTTCCATGATTCTGGACTTCTTCGCGTGAGGTGCCTCTGGGTGGGACCCTTCACTTGCCTCGCTCGGCACAGTCGTGCTCTCGATGGAGATTCGCCGCGGCATGCCACCTGAAGCACGAGGAGGTGGAAGGTCGACACGAGCTTCTCGAAGTTCTTCTCCTCTAACAGGGGGACTCGGTTCCGCGGCCTCGGCTTCTTCTGGGGATGGCACTCGTGGAGGAGGCTCTTCTTCAGCAACTGGGGCTCGCCAGGTGTCCTCTGGCGGGGTCCCTTCTTTGGCGACGTCCACCGCCCCAGCTCGCTTGCCACACATGTCCTTGACCTCAACTCCCACGGCCTCCGTCGCCGAGGCTGGTCGGACTTGGTCCACGTTGCACTTCCACAGCCGTGCCCTCATTGCCACCCACACGGTGGTGCCGGTGTGAAGCAGCACCAGTCCAGGTCCCGTCCATCGAGACCGCTGAGGGGCTCTGCGGTACACGTACACCCACTGGCCGGGTGAGAACTGCTGGTAGCGGTGGCGCTGTGCCCTCGCTGCTCGTTGAACTCTCTCCTTGGCGTACGCTTCGAAGGTCAACTCGCGGGCTCGTTGTCGAATGGCATTGCATTTGTGGAACTCCTTGCCAGGCTCGTCCAACTCCAGGGGGTCGGCCGCGGCCTCTTGGCGCCCGGGCGTATAGTCTCCAGGCCATCGGAAAGCAGCTCTTCAGGAAGTCGCACTCCACGACCAAAGACCAGCTGTGCCGGAGAGAAGCCCGATCTGGAGTACCAGTTGTTCTTGCAGATCACCATGTGATTGACCAGCAGCTCGAGGTCCTCCAAAGTGTTGACAATTGCTGGGCCTTCTGCAATCTCCCTCTTGGCCCTGGATTTGACAAAGGCGCCATGGCGCTCTGCTCGTCCATTTTGCCAGGGGCTCTCTGAATCAACCACATGTTGAAACACAGAGACTTGTTCCAAGCCACGGGCGAAACGCTTTTCAAATTCTGGTCCTCCATCGGTGATGACAACTTCTGGAGCTCCAAAGGGCTTCATCCAGGTGTCCATGAACGCTTTCCACACTTCCTCGGAGGACGGTGTTCCTCCAGAGGGTCTGCCTCCAACGACCGGGCGGACCATGGAGACGGCTTGGAAGTGAGTGCCATGACACACCACGTTGAGGAACGGGATCTGTACCTCCTTCCAGGGCAGGTAGAAGATGTCCACCCCCAGGATCTTGTTGAAAGCATAGGTTCGAGGAAATGCCGCAACACGGCGCGGCACCTGATTCTGACGCTTCTGGCACACCTCACAGGAGAAGTCCTTCCTCAGGTAGTCGAGGACCTCTTCCTTGGCTCCCGCCGCCTTGAGAACCACAATGAGCCTCTCAACCGGCAGGTGGCCCATGTTCTCATGTAGCTTCTGCACCATTGCCTTCATGGACTTGTCCTCGACCTCTGACTCCTTTTCGTCGCTTGACGGCGGAAAGTCCTCGCCGGCCTCGACCTCCTCCTGGTCGTCCGCTGAGCCACTGCCTTCTGCGTTCTCCGTCCCAGTGTCGTTGTCCTCGTGGCCATCAAAGAAGACGTCATGGCCGCGGATCGTCCAAAGCCCTCAGCCACCCGCTCGGTCCACTCACCCACGGAGACGTCCTCCTTGGTGCCGCGAATGGCCATAGCTACGCCGACCTCGTTGGTAAGGATGGCTGAAGTGTGGAGTCGACCATCTCGAGGAGCGCGGCATCGAGGAAGGAAGGTCACGCCCTCAAACTGAAGCAACTCCTTAACGCCATCTAGCGTGTCGCCGCCTTGCAGCTGTGGAGCTTCAAAGAGAAACTTTCTCCCATTTCGGAGTTGCTCTCTGGCCACGTTCACACAAAAATCAAGCGCCGCTCTGTCCCGGATGGCCTCGACCTTCGCACGCCTCAGCTGGCTGTAGTCCTCGCCACGGTCTGCTCGAACTTCTCGACCGGGAGGTCCAAAGAACACTGGGTCGATCACGATGAGCTCTGGCTGGTACTTGGCGACCAGCTGCCATCCAAGACCCTGTCGAAAAGGGACGGCCATCTCGACTCCGGAGCATCTGGAAAAGCCTCGTCAAGGTTCTGACTGCCAAACACCTCGAACACCACTGTCTTCCTTCTCGAGGGGGACGGCGCGGGAACTTGGCCACAAAGCCCACGCATCGCTCTGCGGAGCTTCTTCTTGTCCTTGCCGGCCAAGGTGGTGTGGAAGTCGTCATCGAGGTCCTCGTCGCGGAGGTATGTCGCAAATGACGGCAGTCTCCATGCACTTCACCAGGTCGAGCTCCTTGCCGGTGTCCTGGTGGACGGCCTTTTCAATCTCAGCCTTGCCCTCGAGAAAGGCCGGAATGCGGCCTGGGCACCCCTCCTCCAGCAGTGTGTAAAAACATCCGTCCTTGCCGCGGTGGGATGCCGTTGGTCTTGGTGTTCCTCATGCAGACGTCCACTCCATGTCCAGCTCGTTCGGGTTGTCGGGATTCACCCGCGGCATGGGCCCCTGAGTTGGAGCTGCCTTCGCTGCCGCCGTCGAAGGAGTCGCCGATGTGCTCGAAGCCAGATTGCGGACCTCCCTCATCATCTCGAATTGGGTGGCCTGCATCGACTGCATCGTCTGCACCATCGCTCCCATTCCCGACATGACCTGCCGGTTGCTCTCGGCCATCCCGGTCAGAACCTGCTTGTTGCACTCCGCCATGGCCACCTGGATTTGGTGGGTGTTCTCGGCCATGGCCTTCCCAATCGCAAACACCGTGTCCTCGCCCTCCGTCTTTGATGTCGACCGGGTGCTCGAGGTTGCTTCCGAGGATCGTGGCATCGACTTCGGTGGCGGGGCGCTCACGTAGGCGGTTGCCTTGCCGGACTTCTTCTGAGGTCGAACCCGATGCGGCGTGTAGGTCAGCTTGGTCTGGCAGAGGAGGCATCTCTGCCATGATCCGTACTGGTTCGCCCCGTTCACCACAGAGGACGCCGGGTGTGCGCAGTGCTCCTGCTTGGAGAGGCCGTACTTCTGCTTGCGCTGGGGTGCACCTTCTCCTCCAAGAGGCGGTTGGTCAAGATCTTCCATCGGAGCTCGGCCGGGTTCTCCATGCATGCGCCAGGCTGAGCAGCTACAGTCGCGAAGGCTTGATGCTGAAGAGGTTGCTTCGGAATCCTTGACTTTGGAGCTTGGCTTCAACAACGCACAGGTCAAAGGAACAACCTCACACACTGGTTTGTCAATTGCACCTACACAGGCAGAACAGTCATGACGTGGTGGTGCACTAGCGCATTCACTGCCAAGACGACCCTCATCAACTCCACTCTCTCTCTCAGCACCCCCCATGTATGCCGACACACTCGCGCTGTCCAGGTTAAAGGCCCCGTCTCGGAGCTGAAATTCGCTCTTGAGGGCAGCGGGAACCGGAAAACGGCCGCCCTTCCACTTGGCAATGTCCACTACTCTATGTCCCGACTTCATCCTCATCATGGCCTCCTGGGACCCAAGCTCCTGGTAGGTGATCACGTTGGTCCTCATGTCAATGTTGGCTCCAGTGGACTCCAAAAGGCCAACGGAGAGTAGATGCGGCACATTCTCCTGGACCACCGTTGCTCGAACAATTCCCGGGATACCCGCCAAGATGCACGGGATGAGGGTCTGGAACAGCGGCTTGGCTTGGCCTCCCACTCCATGCACTGCAGGCGGCTCGCCCGGAAGCTGGACGCACTGAAGACCTTGACTGCCAAGTCTAGCACACAAGCGGTCATAGGAGTCCTTGCCCATGAGGTCTTGACCGGCTCCTATGTCGAGTATGGCATGTCCGGGGTCGAGGGTCAGGAAGATGAGGCTCTGCAAGTTCTCGGCGTGGTATTGGCGGAGCTTCTTTCGCAAAGGTTCGTCCAGAAGCAGGGGGTTTAAGGGGGTTTAAGGGGGTTTAAGGGGGTTTAAGGGGGTTTAAGGGGGTTTAAGGGGGTTTAAGGGGGTTTAAGGGGGTTTAAGGGGGTTTAAGGCCCCAGTCCACGAGCGGAGGTCGCCATTGCCCTTGCGCTGGGTCTCCACCTGGTCCACGTACTCACGAAGCTCATCCATCGTGCGCTGGATCGGGTGGTAGAGCTCGTCCTTCAACTTCTCGCGCTCGTCGTCGCCAGGGGTAACCTGGTCCGAGTGCTCGCGAAGCTCGTCCTTCATGCGCCTGATCGGGTGGAAGAGCTCGTCCTTCGGCTCCTCGTGCTCGTTGTCGCCACTAATCACCTGGTCCGTGAGCTCGCGAAGCTTGTCCTTCATGCGCCGAATCTGGTGGAAGGGCTCGTCGTTCAGCTCCTGGCGCTCGCCGCCTGGACGCCCGCTGGGGCACCCAACGAAGAACTCCTCGGACTCGCTGACGCCAAGGTACACGAACGACACCGCCTTCCTCGCGGAGGCTCCGGGCTTGTCATCTCGAGGCTTGTAGGGCTGTGTGCATTCGGCCTTCCAATGCCCCTTCTGCCCACAGTTCGCGCATTTGGTGCGCTGCTTGAGGTCATCGATCGATATTCGGGGTCGGCCAGCCTTGCCGAAGACCCTTCGATCCTTCTTCTGGGCCTGCTTTCGGTCCTTATTGGACTTCCAGGTGCGCTTCTTGCCCTGCTCGGCTTGCTCTTTTTCCCACGCCGCCAACCTGGCCACGGCCTCCTTCTCATCGACATCCTCGATGTCCATCAGGAAGCTCTCCACCTCGTCGTTGTACAGCATGAGGGAGACCTCGTCGTCGTCTGACTCGCCATCGTCGTCCTCGCTCTGGTCGTCGGCTTGCGCGAGTCCGGCGAAGAGGCTGCTCTTGCCCTTCGTGATCGGTTCTTCCTCCACATCGAGCATCTTGAGCGCGTTCACCACCCGGTCAAAGTCGCCCGCTCCACTTGTCAAGGTTCGAAGATTCTGAACTCCTTGCCTTGAGAGTCCAGACGTTTCTTCGAGGCTGAAGGCCTTCAGCTCGGAGGGCAGGGTCAAGTAGCGGTCTGCACCAAGGAATTCCTGCTCCCTGCGCAGGGCAAACTGCGAAAGGGTCTCATCCTTCCGCCGGTGACCCTCAAACAAAGCAGCCCTCACGACTCGACGCTTCTCGGTGGCTCAGGAACATGCTCGAACTTGCCTTGCAGGTCCCAGTCAAGTTGTTTGCACAGCTTCTCGAACCTTCGCCAGGTGGGGACGTCGGTGTTGGCATCCCACCTGCGCAGTGACTTCTTCCAAAGCCTGTAGCTAGCCCAGCCACCCCAAGCTGGAGGGTCACTGAAGTCTCCTTTTTGAGACCCACCGTTGCTTCTCCACCACGGGCTCCATCTCGACCAATCATCGCCTTGCCAAGTACCATTCCCCCATGGCCCTTGGCTCCATTGCTGGTTCCATGACCAGTCACCCCACTGATTGGTCTCCCTTCCCGGGTTTCGGAAGTAGGGCCTCGGCACCTGCAGTTCAGCTGGGGGTTGATCCCCATCTCCACTTGCTTCGTCACCTGCCGAAGCTGCAGCCGCCACAGAAGACCACGTTGGCCAAGTCCCGGTCTCGCTCTCGCCCCATAGTGGTTGAATCGGCCCTTGCTGTCGCCAGCCGCCTGAGGACATCACAGTCTGCCCTTGGATCGCGCAACCGCTGCCACTGACAAGCTGAAGCTAGGCGCTGATCGAACAGGAACCTATTTTCACTCCACTAAAGGGGCGTGAGCAGCTCGGGCCTAGCCGGCAGCAAAGGTCAGCACCTGCATGCAAGCGTCTCCTGACTAGCACCAAGAAACGGGGAGGAAGCTAGTTTCTACATTTCGAGACATTCTCAACTCACATGGAGGTCCCCGGTGATGACGCAAGCGCCATTGGCATGTAGGTCGGCGAGGCCTTTGCCTTAATTGTACAAAGACATTCGGGGTTAGGGTTTAGGATTAAATAACCCTGCATTTTCTAGTTTCGGGCTTAGGGCTGTAGTTCAGGCTTACATGCCTATGCCTTCAGGCTGAAGGTACTACCCCACACCATCCGCCCAAGGCGGTTCGAGTTCGGGGTCCATGCCTAAACGTCTTGGGCTTACTTCTTCAGCTTCTGGGTTCCGATGGGTTTAGAGGTAGTCCCTTCCCCTAGCAAGAACCACGCCCAGCCCCCCAATAAATGATACTTCCTCCATTCTATGGGCTCCAAGCCCCTCGTCTCCCCCTTGATAACCCCTATAAAACTCCCCTATATAATACCTACATAACTTCCATGGAGGAGTTAAGCCTATAGCTCCTTAAACCCCAAACCCCTAAACCCTAAACCCCTAGCTCATATTGCGGTAGTATCTTGGAGACTTTCTTTTCTTTTGGGGGTGGGGGGGTTGTATTGTTTGCGGGACTGGATGACTTTGTATCCTGGCAATGTAAAGGTTTGGGTTTAGGTGTTTGGGGTTTGGGTGTTTTGGGATTTGGGGTTAGGGGGTTTGGGGATCTGGCTTTAGGGATTCGGAGTTTGGGGATTTGGAGTTTAGGATAAGAATCATCGACAGAACACTGGCTTAAGGTGTGGGAACTGGAGTTCAGGATTCTATCGCTACATGGAATACTGCGCTTTGAGACCGTTATTGCTACAAAGCGCCATTTAATCCAAAGCCCTACCCAAAACCCTGAACCCTGAACCCTACTTGGATGATCTTTTGAATTTCTACGTCTACCTACTAGCACCACTAATCCCCATCGTAAGCCCTATAACACAAATTACACAGTAGACTTGCTAAGTCAAGGGATCCTCCAAGTAATCCATCTGTTTCGTGCAGGTTAAGGGACCCGGGTTAAGGGCTTAGGGTTTAGGGACCCGCGTTTAGGGTCTAGGGTCTAGGGTTTAGGGTTTAGGGTGTAGGGTCTAGTGTTAAGGGTTAGGGTCTAGGGTCCAGGGTTTAGGGTTTAGGGTCTAGGGTTTAGGACTTAGTAGGGTTAAGGGTGCAGGGGTGCTTAACGGAATGGCAGAATGGAACCCTAAAGTATGTGAGCTATGGTCTAAACTCCTTGATGGGGGATATCTAGGATTATATATGGGACTAGCGTAGGGGTTATTAAGGGGGATACTCGGAGTGTAGACAATGGCTCATATACTGCAGGTAGGTGTTGTTTCGGGTTTGGGGCCTAGGGGTTAAGCTGACGAGGTATGGTCAAGCAACTTTTGAAGTAGGCGGGGGGGGCCCAAGCTAAACCCCAATGTACTATATTCCTTCTCAGGGGGACTCCCAAAGCCAGGCGGCCGCTAGTTCTCGCAAACCCGAAACCCTAATCCCTAAATCCTACAACAGCTTTAAATCATAAACCTTAAAACCTTTAAAGGGTCCGTCATTTGTTGCCCTGAATCCTGGACTCTAAACCCTCAACTCTACAACCCAACGGGTTCAGAGTTTAGGGCTTAGTTACACCCTCAACCGTGCCTCAACAAAAAAGCACCAAACGCCAGTTGTTGCATGCTGTCTACTTCCGGCCGGGACGCTTTGTTGGATGTAGTGCTTACGGTAAGTCTAGGCTTAAGCAGGCCGCTTGTCGACCCTGGGTGTACATGAGCTATGCTTCTAAGAATGATTTAGCATATAGTCGCCCTGAAGTAGATAGAATATGGGGTATATGAGGATCTTATTGTCATACACTCAAAGCCATATTCCATCCACCTAAGGGGGACTATACCCTTTAGCAAAGGGTGTGTTGAGTGTTGTTTTAAGAATGCGGAGCCTAGATCTGAATTTGAACCACCCGGCCTTCTGGGTAGTGGAGCACAAGAGATTGCTTTCCGACTACTTTCAAAGGGTTCCCCTGTCTGGACAGATGCTCAGACCCTAAACTTTTTTAAGCCCAAGCTGCTGTAAGCCCTCGACAGCCAAGCCCATCCCTACCCTCTTAAACCCATATTAAGGGGCTATTTCTATAGGGGGGATTACCTAACCTAAACCGTAAGCCCTAAACCCGAAACCATGAAAGACCAATCTGCGACATCATAACAATATTGACAATAGGAAGAATAGATTGATATCAGTAGAAATGACAATGAAACTACCAAGAGCAACAACAGCAGAAATGCTCAGCGCTACAAACAATGATCTTGAACGACCAAGCTAAGTCCTTAACCCCAAAACTTTTGAGCCCTAAACTCTAAACCCTATAAACCCCAACCCTCATGACTTGACCTTAGGCCCTAAATGCCAGAACTTAAAAGACCGAGCCGCGAAAGAGGCCCTCCAACTCCGCAGGCAGAGGCGCCCCCGACTGACAAAGCTCCTGGGTTGCTGTTAAAGACCTTAAAGTAAGTTTAGGGTTCAGCGTTAAGGGTTTAGGGCTTAGAGTTTAGGGTTAAGGGCTCAGGGTTTAGGGTTTAGGGTTTGGGGTTTAAGGTTAAGGGTTTAGGGTTTTGTGTTATGTGCGAGATACCCATCTCAGGATAACCCTACTTTAAACACCCTTTCTACCCACATTATGGTAACCCTAAACCCGAAGCCCCAAATCCTACATACCCATGTAAGCCATGGTCTAAACTCCTAGTATCCCCCTTAATAAGCCCTAGAATAGGAACCCTGTAATATCAACAATATAACCCCCTTTAGACTGTAGTACATACCCTAGATCCTAAGACCCATAAACCCTAAACCCTATAAACCCTGAACCCTAGACCCTAAACCCTCCCTATAAACCCTAAACCCTGTAAATCCATATTATGGTAACTTAATCTAAGTTTCTTAAATCCCTAATATTCCCCCAGTGTCCATTTAATTTCCATTTTCTTTTCCATTTGATTCTTCATTATAGGAGAATACTATACCCATATTACAGCAACTTAAACCCTAAACCCTAAACCCCATCTAGCCACATTATGGAACTTAAATCCTAAACCCTAAACTCTATATACCCATATAATGGTAACTTCCCTTAATAAGGGATTACAGTAGTACCCCCCCCCCCAGAGGTAACCCCCCCAGATTTAGAACCCTATTAGGCCTTATTAAGCCCTATATAGTCCTTAGTAGCCCCTTAAACCCTGGGACCCTAAACCCTAAACCCTAA